AATTTCCGCTAAAAAAAAAAAAAAGAAGAAACCATCAACTCGGAAGTTGTCATTTGACAGGGACACATCGGCATGTCCCATCAATCACTGAATGTGACTGCCGCTGCGTAACGAGCTGCACGAAATGTAATCCAAAGATACAACAAACAAAGGACAGCATGTGGCATGCAAAACGCCCCCTTCCATCTAATTGATTACAGCTAATCCCCGCGAATACCCCAAAGACTTTTGACTAGTAGAAGAGAGTGCCAGTGGCTGTGGCTGCTGCTGACTGTTGGACACTCTGTTTATTAAACATTTCAAAGTATATAAATAAATGATTTTAATTATTATTCTTTGCTGTTGGACGATGGATGGGCCAGTGCGAGAGATGATCTCATCTTTCAATTGAAAACTGAAAATTCTCATTCTAGTTTGTTCTGTTTATTGCATGCATAATAAATGGGAACGGGAATGGGTCTAGTCCGGGACACATGTGGCACTACAAGGGGCATTGGGACACTCATGTGGGATCTTTATTGGTGGGGAGTGGCTGCAAGTAGTTTCGATTGCCCTCTCTCTTCTTTTTGCAACACTTAGATCATCTTGTACCTCCCCCTGCATGTCCAGTTGGCATATCATTTAATTAAAACTAAAAACTACAAAAAACCTCAAAGATATTTGCAGCACGCATGGGCCAGTCCAGCCCCACTCCAAATGTTGCATGCAAATGAACAAAGGAATTGGGAATGGGCAACGGGCAACGGGCAAAGGGAAGAGCAAAACAACTTCACCTACTAGCAAAAGTTACGCTGCCAAACAGTACGAAAGCACTCATTAAGTAGTCGGAAAACGTTATCCCATGCTACTCCGATGCCCATTCCCTCTCTAAAAGAGGGGCGTATGAAATTAATAGAGTCTCTTACTCCTCTCTGCTCTGTTCTTCTCCCCACTTAATTATCACAAAACAACACAAAAAGATACAATTTAAAATGGGCAAGTGTTTTCCCTACTACTTCCCTTTTCCCTGCACAGTTCCCTGACTCTTGTCTGCTGTGCGTGTGTCTGCTTTATTAGATGATGATAACTGGCTAATGAGTTGAACTCTGCGGCAAGCCAAAAGCCTACAACGACATTGTATATATCTCTCCCTCTCCACAAGAAGCACTGACCAAATGCAGAAACAGACAGATACAGAGACAGAGACAGAGACAGAGACGAAGACCAAAGTAAAACCAGGAGCGGCGGGGGAGCTGGATACGGGCATACACATACTCTCTGAGAGCTGCCCGCACATTTTCAACATCTTTGATCTTGAGTTTTAAAGAGTCTTTGTGGTGTACCCTCCCTCTCTCGCTCGCTGCAAAAAGACCAACGACAATGGGCTAAGCTTTGCCTGTCATTTTAATATGCGAGATCTTCCATTGATATACAATTCTGGGCAGATTCTAGAAGGAATATAAATGTGACTATTTCAAGAGGTATTTTATACGAATTTCAGAAGAAGAGTTAGTTCTTAGGGCTTGGATTAATCCCATCAAATCTGTAAGCGAAAGGGCTGCTACGTGGCACTAAAGAAGGCTATCCAAGTCGTGGGCATAGAGGCGGCCTTGTCACCCCTTTTATACCATAGAATGTTCTTATCTTTAGCCTCTTGGCAGGTTTTTTAATTCCATTAACTAACAACAAGTATTATCAGTAGGATTGTATATAATAACAGAAGGTTTTCTATTAATTTGTTAAGCGAAATCAAATACTATTTTACGGAGAGAAGCCAAGTTTCATGGTGTCCAAAATCGAACAATTTGTACGGGCAGAAGAAGCTTGGGTTATAGATTTATGTAGACAAATTTCACCTGTAATGCAGCGGAAAAACCTCCCAACGGAGCACTCCCTGGGAGCACTCTAACTCTACAACCAAAAGAGTATCCAATCGCCGCGGTATCCCAAGTAAACATGGTTGCGGGGGGCTGTGATCTCTTCTTCTGTTGGCTCAGATTTAAATGTTTGTTTTGTTATTGCTATTTTTGGCGAAGGTGAGCAGCGAGAAACGTAAATTTGGAAGAGCCCACGAAACTTCTGGCCAGAAAGAGAGACCTTAGAGGTTAGCAAAATAAAGCAAAGAAAAAACGGTTAAAGATAACTGCGTTTTATTTGTGTGTTTCTGTAGTAACTGTTTATATCTTTGGCTTGGGCATGACCGCATGCAAAGCAAAGTCAGGTACGAAATCTGTAGATATAAGTATGTACATAAATACATACATAAATGTATGTGTACATATAATAAATACATTTGACTGTCAATGGCAAATGCCTGGCATATCGTTATTAATTTATCTTCGCTGCGCTGCGCTGTGCTGTGCGCTGTGCTGTGCGCTGTTTACCTTTGGGGTTTTTGGATTCAACGCTTAATCTCCCTCCCGCCACATTGTGCCAGAACCCAGAAGCACACCCAGATACCCAGAGACCCACTCAGCGATACAAATAACAAAAAAAAACACTTGCACTTAACATTGAATTTCCGTATACTCCATAGTTGTTGGCATTATTTTCGGATCACATTGCCCTTCTTATCGGCGAAGAGTCGAGAACCTATCAGCAAGGCAACGGGGCAACGGGGCTGATAACGCGCCAAAACAAACAGAGCAGCCGAGCTGGGGGAGTGGGAAAAAAACTATATAGAACATGCATGCTCCCAGGGTTCTGTCCACCATCCCCATAAGTGAGTCACACAAATTTTGGCAACACAATGTGGTAAATTATGTTGCCAACGAAACCCTAGTTACCCATGCAGATCGCTGGTTCCCATGACAGCATTGTGATTTAGTTAAGTCAGAGACATATGAAAGGAAGTGACTTGTTTGCATAGAATATAGTCAACGCTCAAGAGCACACGATAATAACTCAGATTAGCACAGATTTGAACAGATCTAGGCAGCATTTACATATTTAGAAAAAAAAAAACTCCACCAATGGTTCACATTAATGTAGAAATTCCTGCTTTACGCTGGTCAAACTTCTGTTAAAAATGATATAATACATATAGCAACAAATACCGCGAAATCAGATAAGCCTTGCCACGTTCGGAAATGCCAACAATTTTTGCTGATACCTGATACCACACCCAAAACTACAGTAGTTCAAGCAGTGGGGGAAAAACATTGTCAGAGATTACTTGGAAGGACAGCCCTAACATTAGTACCTAATAATGTTAATGGATCCATGTATGAATTAAAACAAAGCATAAAACAAATTCCTGCCATGTGGAATTAGCCAAAACCCCGATAGGTTTCCGCTGATTACCGAAATTATAAATCCACTCTGGCACACTGGATATTCCATTCCCATTGTGTTCCGCGGTGTCTTTTGCGGTGTTTCTGCGTGATCGCACAATATTTGGGACGCCAGTGTGTCGATTAGTCACAGGTAGAAGGAATGCAAAAAGGGGTTGCAAAAACCAGAAAGACAGACTTGTCAGCCTGCAGCTGCCCCGCCACCAGCAGCAGCAGAGGCAGACAGAGGTGAGGGCAAGGACAAGGCGACAAAGATTGACTTGCAGACGGAGGGGGGACAAAGTTTGAGTCAGCCAAAAAAAAAAAGGGGAAACAGTACCCCCCATTTTTTGGGTCTTAGGAAATAATTAATCGCAACGCAAAACTCACCCTTCCATGTCCATGTCAACGACTGGCAAACGCTTCAGCTCCGACATGTCCAGCTCCAGGCGCAGATTGGAGACCTCGCAGAGCAGGCGATCCCGCTCGCTGCTCAGCTCTTTGACCCTGGCATGCAGCGCATGGTTCTCCCGCAGCAGATCCTCCGCGCTATACTGGATCTGGGCCGGTGGCATCGCTCCTTCATCAATGAACTGCATCATGGAGCTGGCCATCAGCAGGGACTGTGTGGTCTGATGCAGCAACAGATGCTGCTGCTGTTCGGGTTCTGCAGAGGATTGGATGCCACTGCGCTGGGGCGAGAGTGCCAGCGACAGGGCCTTGAGGTCGGCCTCCGAAAATTCCATTTGTTGTAATCGCTTTTATTACACTTTTTTCACTTTGTATTCACTTCTGACTGGTGTTTTTATTGCTACTGCGACTGCGGAGTGCACTTTATGGCCAGAACATGGTCGCGCGCCACGCCACGCCACGCATACGCACTAGCGCACACAAGAAGCTGCGGGGGGGGGGAGAGCGGCAGCCCCTTGAAAGACGAACCGAAATGCGAACCGAGAGCACAAGAACACAATGGCGACGACGCACAGGGGGCCTCTTGACTTTTGTTTCACTCAATTGTGGGTGGTGGTGGGTGAGCGCTGGGTAAATGCACGACACACTTGCAGCAATCGAAATTCGTTTCGTTTCGCGAGCAACAAATGGCTTTTTATTCACGCGCGACAACACGCGGTACACGTCCGTTCTGTTGAAATTTAAAAAAGTTTTTTGTTTGTTTACTGTGGCTTACAGTGTGACCGCGCGCATTTATCTATTAAATATACCGCGCGACCCACGGAAGTATACCGAAATATACTGCAACGATACCGCTGAAAAAAGCGAGCTTAACCCAGCTTGAGCTCCTTATATTTAAACAGGTTAACAATTTTACTTAAACTGCGCGAAATATTGAATATTTGCGAATTCTAATCTTCTTGTAGGTATATCCCTTTCCTATGCCTGTAAAAACACAATAAGATATAGATCTTTTAACTGAACTGCTATGTGCGACAATGGGTTAACGCTGGCTGTCCACGTTCAGAAATCATATTTCTGCATTTTGCTATTCGCTTTCATATTACCAGCAAGATAGGAAGCTTAGGGCGAAATATATAATTTTTACAGATTAATGAATCATTTGTCCTATGTCTATGCTGGCTAACTTCAAGGGCTCCCTTTTGTTTGCTAACAATAAGAATAAAATGATCGAAGAGCACAAGAATTTCGGTATTTTGTAGCAAAAGCAGACAAGTTGGCGTTTCTTTTTGAAAATAACGAGAAATTGGAATGGAAAAACCAAAGCAATCCGCAGGGGTTACATCTACACAGTCAAACTCCCAGAGTCAGAGCAAAAATAACTCGTAAAAATGACGCCCTTTGGCTCACATATGGCATTGTTCATGATCACCATCACGATTATCCTGCTATGCATTGGCTCGATCTTTATACGTTTTGGTTTCCACCAGGAACTGGTGCGGGACAAGACGAACGGCGTGAGGATTGTAATCGCTTTGATGTTCCAATATCTTGTGGGAGATCCGATCAAGTTTGCGATCATCGCATGGGATCGTACGATTTGGCCGCGCGATCATTATGTGCCGCCGATGGACAAGAAGGGCGAGGAGTACGATATGGATGATTTTTTGGTGCAGAAACTGGAGCGGCAGAAGCGTAATCTAATGATCACCTCGCACTATCGACACGAGAAACTGAACGAAATGTACAAGGAGATCAGCAGGGATTTGTGGCTGTTTGGGCGCTACTATTTCTGGCTGATGCTGGCCATATTGGCCACGTGGGAGCCGCGCGCCTACCGCAGCTCGGACATGATCAAGAAGCTGCTGCTGTTCAATCACACGGAATACTATGGCCTGCAGGAGGTGGTGCACATCAATCAGCTGTTTGACTACATCGAGATCAATCTGATCAACACCTTCGACACGGACTCTGCACCGGGCACAACCTTCACCAGTCCTCCGTGGGTGCACGCCCAGCAGTGGGTGATGCTGGGCGTTATACGCGTGAGGCAGCTGCGTCGCAGCAAGCGCAAGATTGGCTGGGGTAGTCCGGATTACACGGAGGAGTCCTATCTGCCCGGCTGGCAGACACCCTACCGCGTGGTGCCCTACGAGGATATGCACTGGCGCGTCACACGTCCCTGGGTGCCCATGGAATGGGAAGCGATTGACAACCTTCTCGTGAATTTCTATCATATTGGCTACTTTGACTACTATCCGGAGCTGAAGGGCTACTCCACGCTGCTGTCGCGCAGCAAGACAAGCACCAAGATGGTGCTCGATTTCCTCACCGAACAGCACTGGCTGACACGCAACACATCGGCGATCTTTATAGACTTTACCATGTACAACATGGACATGAATATGTTCAGCGTGATTACGCTGCGGCTGGAGCAGCTGCCCTTTGGCAGTGTGCTGCCCTACGTGAATGTGGATGGCTGCGTGCTGCTGCGGGATTTCGATCATCTCAAGTGGAACGATTTGCTTGTGTATCTCGTGTACATGTTCGTGCTGGTGCAGTTCGGCAAGGCGACGGTGAACAAGGTGTGGTACGACTCGCGCACTCTCAAGAACGTGTGGAACATAATGGATCTGCTGATATTCGGGCTGAATGCCGTGGTCCTCTGGCTGATGTTCTTTCGCGCCTCGTTGGTGCGTTCCATGCTGAAGAATGTCAGCGTCTTTGGCAACATGGACTTTGTGGACTTTCGGCGTGGATCACGCCTGCAAGGACTCATACACATAGTCATTGGCATACTCATTTGCCTGACAACGCTGCGACTGTGGAGGATTCTGCAATTTGCGAATGTTTTTCATTTGTTCAATCAAACTCTGCGCATGGCCTGGCAGCCGGTGGTCAGCATGGCCATGATTATTTGCATCTTTCTGATTGGTTTCTGCATGATGATGGTCATCATTAATGGCAACAACAGCATCTTCTTTAATCGCTTCTTTCAGAGCGTCATCACCTGCATGTGCTTCTCCTTCGGCTTCAGCTCCCACATTCATCCCAGCGAAATGTTTCACGGCGGCAGGGCCATCGGATTCATTTTGTATGCCATTTTGGGCTTCTTCATTTGCACCGTGCTCATCAATGTGTTTGTGGCAATGATTAATAACTATTTTACAGTCGCCAAGGAGCGACGCGACTCGGAGGAGGTGGCACATCTCGATTTCTTTCAGTTTCTGCGCGTCGAGTATCCGCGCCTCTTCGACTTCTACTGGCAACTGCCCTGCTTTCGGCGTGGATACAAGCGCCACGGCCGCACCGTTGGCCAGAATGTAAGCCTCGCAACGGCGTACGTTGAGCGCAAGAATAGCTTCTTGATGCGCCGCAAGACAATCAAAATTGTGGACGAGAGCAAGGAGGAGACAAAGTTTCAGATGCGCGGCGAGCAGCTGCTGCTCGTGGCCGAGCACATGGAGACACAAATGGAGTTGCTGACTCTACGACTCTTTGGCGATGCACCAGAAGAGCGGCGTCCACGCAGGAAATGGGGTTTATTTAGTCGCGAAGATTAAATAAAGTTTTTCCCGCTCACGTAGTATGCCGAATAAGTTACATTACATCTACATACCGCACCATCTGTTTGGTATCTCTAATAGCTTTTTATGACGTTTTCCAGCACTGGCCTACAAAGTAATAATAAAAATGGAAAAAATTCACATTTTAACGGCTATTTTGATTACAGGTTCACCGGGTAAGTGCTTACAATGCGCCCGAGTATCTTCGCCTCATTCTCAGGTGTCCCCCCCCCCCCCAGGTGTTGGCAAGACCACATTGGTGCGCAAAATCTGCTCAAAGTTGGGCGAGCAGCGCAAACTTCAGGGTTTTTACACGGAGGAGGTGCGTACCGCTGGCAAAGGACAGCGAATTGGCTTTGATGTGGTCACTCTGAGCGGCAAGCGAGGCATACTGGCACGAGAGGGACCGCTGGACAACCTGCGACGCCCCAAGGTGGGCAAATACTCGGTCTATGTGCAGGACTTTGAGGATCTAACGCTGCCACTGCTTCTCGAGGGCAGTCAATCGGGCTGCGAGCTCTTGGTCATCGATGAGGTGGGCAAAATGGAGCTGCTGAGCAAACGCTTCGAAGCTGCCATGGCCAGTGTGCTGCAGCAACAGCGGCTTTTGCTGGCGACTATACCGCAGTCGAACCGCCAGTCCCTGCCGCTGGTGGAGCGACTAAAGAGCCTTCCTGGCGTTGTCATTTACGAGGTGACCAAAGGCAATCGGGATGCGCTGGTCAATGAGATTACGGAGTGCATTATACAGTCGAAATTGTTAGCATAATAATCTGTTCTGGTCTGTTTATTAGCGCCCAAGTGGCTGCAGTTACTACGCCTCCTCCTGCTACGCTTCCGCTGCTGCTGCTGTTGAGGTAGGCGGTGGCATGGATGTGGCGGACTGGGATTCGCTTTTGCGTGTGGAGCGCTTGCGCACACGCTTCGTCTCCTTGGCCCAGTCCATTTCGTTGTAGTATTGTTCGGAGGCGCGCCAGTGCAGCTCCTGGCGCTGCACCAGTTCCGGATGCTTCTGTTCGAACTCCTTGTCCGGTGGCAGCAGCAGCTCCCAGCGTTTCGTGCTGTTCACTTTGGCCACGGTGTGCAGCACATCGTAGGTTTCCGCAGGCGGCAGCTGGGTGGCAGCCATCACCTGTGTGCGGTACAGGCAAGCTGTGCGCGAGAATCTATACAGCTGCAGGGAGGGAAAATCAGGATTAAAGACACTCAAAGGCAAGTCGTGGCACTCACTATATAGTCCCTGGCGCGTATCATCTGCTCCGCAGTGACGCCATTGGCATGGGAGAGCATCTTCTCGGGAAAGACCACCTCCGATTTGGGCACCCAATTGCCGTTCAGCAGAATGCCAACCTGTGGCAGCAGCGCCAGCACCTTGTCGGGCGTCACATGTGAATCCGCCTGCTCCGCGAGTATCTCCAGCACGTCCCCGAACGACAGCATCCTGACATCCCTGAGCAGCACACGCAGCTGGTCCAGCAGCGGCATTGTCTTCAGCATGGCTCTGTTGTACACGGGCAGCACACTCGACTCGTCCACCTGCTGCACATTCTCGTCGTACGGCAGCAGCTTCTGCAGATAATCTCTGGGATTGAGGGTGAGCGAGAGGTTCGACTGGTGGTTCGTGGCATACAGCTTCTGGCGCTCCAGCTCCGCTGTGGGTGTGGCACGCGCATGCCAATACGTCTCGCACCACGGCTCGTCCACGATGCGCTGCACAAAGCTGTCGTAGGTGCCGCGCTCCTCCTTTGTCTTCTTGGCGGCGGCGCCCTTGTCGCGCGCAAACTTCACTGTGACCTGCTGCAGCACCTCATCATCGTCCACGTCGTCGTTTTGGGCCTTCTGCTCGGCCTTCTTGCGCTTGTCCTCCTTGTCGAAGTGATTGAGGGCGGGCCGCAGCTGCACAATGCTCGTCAGCGGCGATAGGTGCACCTCCTTGTCCGTGTAGATGCCCACAATGTACTTGGAGATGTCTGTTAGCGAGCGCGTGCTCGTGTATGCCTGCTTGTCCATAATGCCACGCTTGTACGTGGGCCGTTCGCCGCCCTTCGTGGGCCCCGCGCCGAATGTGTTCTTGCCATCTGCTGCCATTGCAAACTGCTCGCCCTTGAAGCGGTCATAATGTTTGGAGTCAATATTCAGTGCGAAGTCCACCTTGACCTCCTGTGTGAACGGCTTTACGCAGCAATTGATGATCACCGATTCGTCGTGGTTTGGCAGCTCCGTTTTTGTCGGGTATTGGAAGAGGTACAAACTGTCCTGTAGGTTCTTTGACAGAAACACGGGTATCTGCAGGGGATTCGGAATGGATTTATGGTCGTTCAAGTTGGTACTCCCTCGCACTAACCTCCTCCACAATTGGATCCTCCTCATCGTCCATGTTTTGTTAATAAAATTAGCTAATTTTTGTTGATTTGAGGTGCACGCCTAAATACCGCATGACACAAGCGGAAAAATACTAAAACAATGCCCATACTGGAACGTGAAGTTTGTGGTTTTCCAACACTTGTTGCCAATGAACACAGTGGGCCGAAGAACATGAAAAACGATGTTTGTAGAAAATATAAGCTAATGAAACAGTGAAGTATTACTATTAGTGTCTTATGTGAGTGCCTGATGTGTGTTAAAGTTAACTTCAGCAATAAAATAATATTTTGAATAACACTTTCACTGTCTCATGACACAACAAGTGGCAACATACAAATTAGGCCTGTGTTTTGTCCACTGTGCACCATGCGAAATTTAAAAATCTCAAATAGAATCGATTACAGCTGGTATATTTTGGTATATTTCATCCATTTTGAGGTATTTAATGGTCACACTGCACGCAACGTCCCAGGCCTTGGAGCCAAATTTTTGTTGGCCCTAAAATTCTCGCGTATAATATATAAAACAATGTGCATATATGTACGAGGCGCACATAACACGCGATCATCATGTTCACGGTCACATCGGAAATCTACAGTGAAACCAACTATCAGCCAACGAAGACGGAAGATGGCCACAAAGTCGTCTCCAAGTTTCGGTTCCGATATCCCGACGAGAAGCTGGAGAGGATTGGGCTGACCAGCGCCGATAAAGATGGCGATCTGGATGTGCCAAGGCCACGTCGAGGCGTCATAGAACTTGAACATTCCGTGGCCACGGAGCTGAAGCTGGTGGGGCTGCAAGTGTGGCGCGGCGCGCTGCTCCTGGCGGATTACTTGTTCTCCCAGCGGCAGGAGCTGGCCAATCAGACCATCATGGAGCTGGGCGCTGGCGTGGGACTGACCAGCATAGCAGCGGCGATTCACAACAGCGGAAAGGTCTACTGCACGGATGTGGATTTGGGCTGCATTCTGAAGCTCATCCGTGGCAATGTGCAGCGCAATGTGAGCCTCATGTGTGGCCAGGTGTCCGTGCTGGAGTTCAACTTTCTGATACCACGAGAGGAGCAGGCACCGGAGCTACTGTCCGCCATCGATGCCAGCGATGTGATTTTGGCTGCGGATGTCATCTACGATGACACCCTAACCGACGCCTTTGTGGCCGTTGTGGATCAGATCTTGGCCAGAGGACAACCCACGGGCAGGCCCAAGACCATTTACATGGCTCTGGAGAAGCGCGTGGTGTTCACCTTCGAGGACTGCGAAGCGGTGGCGCCCATGTACGAGTATTTTCTGAGGCAAACGGCACACAAGCCATGGAAATTGGAGCATCTGCCACTGGATTTTCCTCAGTACTTTGACTACGATCGCTGCCGTCAGTTGATTCTGATGAGGATCACCAGTCGTTAGCTGCTTCCCTGTTGCCTGACATCCATAATTAAACGTTGTATGTGAACCTTCCCCTTTTAATGTGTCTGGAAGTGCCCTTAAGGATGTGTTTGGTGATAAATAATTGCTTAACTAGAACCTAAACCCGTGGAGAATGTTATTGCTGCTGCTGGTCACAGATCCTGCATGGCCAGAATGATATTCTCCAGCGCCTGTCGCGCATCTGTGGCCGGAAAGTGCTGCAGCACGGCCAGAGCGGCGGCCGTGTGCTTCCTCTGCAGCTCTTTGGTCTTGGCCAGTGCGGGGCCAGCCAGAACAGCCTTGTGGATCGCGTCGTAGTCAATATTGTCCACCGACTGCTTGCCCTTCTCCAGCTGGACATACAGACTGGGATCGTGCTCCAGGTGGAACAGCACTGGGGCACTGACTAGACTGAAGGTGGTGTCCAGCGGCAGTGTGGGACACTGAAAGGGTTCGGCATCGAGGCAGGCCTGCCAGGCGAGTGCCAGATGCTTGCCAAAGCGATACGCATGCCGCTGCAGCTCCTCGCTCTGGCCCGCCAGCTTCAGCGAGGCCTGACAGGACTTGCCCAGCAGGCTGCCCGCATTCAGAATGTTGCGGCACTCCCACTCCTGCTCGGGATTGCCCAGCACCTGGGCAATGGGCATGGGCGTCATCACATCATGCTCGTTAAAGTCCACGGCCACGCTCAGCGAGGGTCGCTGGAAGGTGCCGGGCTTGTAGGGCAGCGGATTGTTCTGCTCATCCCGCTCCCCGATGAACTCCGATTCGGAAAAGTCGCGCACGGCCGAGGAGATGAGCTCCACCACCTCCTGGTTGCGCAGGTTGGCCAGCTCCGCGCTCGAGTGGCCCAGCAGATAGTCGCCGGTGAGCAGACCAATCTTGTTGCCAAAGGACATGTCATCGTAGGTGGCCGCATCCTGGCCAGCCTCCGTGCTGGACTGCAGATTGACGACGCTCTGGGAGGGAGGAACAAAAGTGGGTTAGAGAATCATTTCAAGTGGTTGAGACTCGATTCGCGCCTACATTGTGCACCAAATGGGAGATGCGTATCATCTCTGTGACCTCGGCCAGTGCGCGCTGAGAGTGGAGGACTCCAGCGCTCTTGTCCTGCTCCACATCAGGCACACTGGGCGCATGTCCCGCCGCCTTGGACACGAGCAGGACAATCAGTCCCCAAGCCTGCATCGTGTTCTTGCCATTGTAGAGCAAATGTCTGCCAAAGAAATGTTTAATCAAAGCTTCAAATAAATTTTAAGCTGACTCACTTGGCTGTCTTCATCAGGGGATGGGCGCTGCCCACCAGTTTGCGCAGATGCAGCGCCACATTGGCAATCTCATCGCTGAGGAGCCAACGCAGGCTCAGGAACGACGTGGGATAGCCAACAATGCGCTCCGCCTCGCTAACGGCACGATTCCAGTCGTGTCTGGGCGGCGGTGTCGTCACCTGTTTGCTGCTCACCGTTGACGTTGCAGTCCAGCGCACCTGTTCGTGCCGCTGCTGCTGCTGCTGCTGCTGCTGAGTGAAAGTTTTCAGCGCAGGCGCGGCCAGGCTTACAGCGAGACGACCCTCTAGCGCTGGCATCCTGTGGCGCAGCTGTTGCATAATCCGTCCACTGGCGCGGTACATCTCGTTGTCGTTTGGGGGGTTTACTGCTTCTGGGGGTCAGGTACAAAGTGCTCCTCTTGGGGCTAGTCTCAATCTCAGTCTCAGTTTCAATTAACAAAAATCGTTGGCTGCGCACCGTTGAACCGTTCGCTCGCTCCGAGCATCGAAAAGTGAAATCTCCTCAACGATGCGACGACGCGACGTCTCCGACTCTCGTTTTTGGTTGCGTCGCAGCGCTGCCGCAGGTGTTGTTGTTGCTGCTTCTTCGCTGGCGGCCCACTTTTACAGTTGTTCAAGTGGCCGGGCCGCCAAGAAATCTGTTTGTTTTTATTGTCATGGAATTTCGGGTGAGGTGAGGCAGGCAACGGTGCTTGCGGTGGTGCAGCGCGGTGCGGTGGAGGTATTTAGCGGGAACAGGTTTTTGCACGGCCATTATTTAGAGATGGCAAATTGTCGATAACTATGCATTTTTATCCAATCTTTGGCCCAGCGATAGATTCGCACTGAAATTGCGTTAAATCGCGTTAAAATTTCGACAGTGTATCGGTTTCGATAAGTTTTGAACCAAAAGACTTTCGAAACTAAAAAATTTGTAAACTTTCTTGGCTTTTGTTTAATTAATTATAGTCCCAATAAACTCACAAAAATATGAGACATCCCCACCACAGTGCAACGGGAAAGTCTTCGCTTACTTGCTTTTTCTGTGCTATCTCAAATTCATCTTTTGCCCCTGGTTTCCTTGATTTTCTTTAAATATTTTTTAATTTATCGATACAAATTTCGATATATTCATTTCAGCCATTCGATAGAAAGACCATGATGGTTTTGCAGCCCTAGTATTTTCCGTAACGCCGACGGTCACACCGGGCAGTTTTTTCCTGATATTTTGTTGCATATTTTGTTACAAAAAATATCGATCGCAGATTTTTCCAGTGGGAAAGTGGAACAAAATAAAACGGATACGGAAAACTCCAGAATAAAGCGAGAAGAAAATGTCCCAAAAAATGTAGCCACAAAAAAACAAAAAGAAAAACCCGTTCGAATGCCCGTGTGTAATGGAGAGCGACCGATTGCGTGCGTGTGTGTGTGTGTGTGTGTATGTGTGGTAGAGGGGATACGATACCGTAGAGAGCTGCACTGCAACAAATTAATATAAATAACAGTGCCAAGTGCCGTTGCGTTCCACGGGGTTTGTGAATGTATTTTCCCGCAAATTGTTGCTGCATATAAATGTTTCCTGCTGCCGCGACGGCAGCTAATGGTATAATTGCTTAAGCGGTCGATTTGCCGCTGCAGAGGAAGGGAGACAGCGACTATTGTCTGCTAGTGTGTGTGTGTGGTTGTGGCGGTGGAGTGGGAGGTGATGTTCAAAGGACCAAAGGGAATGCCGCTTACGCAGAGGCGTCGAGGTGGGGAATGCAACAACTGTGTAACATTGTTTGGCTATTTTGAGTATCCACAAAGTCAAAAATCCGATGTGTACACACAGATTACTGCGAAGAAACAAGAAAAAACGGGGCGAAAAGAAAACTACGAAAGTGGTTGTTACTGCTGCTGCTACTCTGGCTCTATGGCTGTGTGTCGTGCGTGTGTGTGTGATGCGAGAGGAATGCTGTCTATGTATCACGTTTCGCACTGCGTATGTGTGTGCAGTGTTGTATAGTGCATAAATTATGGAATCTGTCTTGGTTCTTTGCCATAATCTTTAAACAAAAAGAAAACAGACAGCTTGTGATGGGTACACCTAGGACCCAATCGATCTGGTTGCATCCCCAACCAGCACCAGCATTCGATAGTGGTGCCTGAGAGAGGCGATGCGATGCAAGATAGAGAGAGCCGCGCATTTAATAAACAGACGCCGCCATGCAAAACACACACTAGTGCGATAAAACTTGTTTGGACGCTCTCGCTCTCTCTCAATCTCTGGCCTTTGCAAAAAGAGCAAAAGCCGCTATTCTCTGTTGCTCTGTGTGTCGTATGTGTGAGAGTGTTTGACAAATCTTCTTTAGCTGCTGCTGCTCTTTCTCGCTACTCGCTGCTCACACAACTACTTCGAAGCAGTGGCAGTGGCAGCAGCAAGCAGCACCAGCGACAGAGCCAAAGCTAGGCGAGCAAAATTTCCATTGTGTGTGGCAGAGCAGAAGCAGCAGCGCCGCGCAGCCATCAGCAGCAGCAGCCAACGGAACACGGTTGGTCTCGGGTCGTTCCCGCAGTCGGTCTAAAATTTTCTGACTCGTCATTTGTGTTGTGTGTTGTGCGAAACGCCAGCAAAAGGCGATTGCAAAGAGAGAGATGTGTGGTGTGGTGCACATATACGTTAAACGTTGAGTAATAATATTATAAATAATGTGTATTTCAAAATCGCAATCGCACTGCTGTTTTTTTGTCGGTATTTAGTGCAAAACTGTGTACAAAAAAGTGCCGAGCAGTACGTAGTCCCCTTTCTTTGCTGCTGCTGCTGCTCTGTAAGAGTGTGGTGTGTGTGTGTGTATATTACTCATCTGCCTGCTGCTGCTCACCCTCTCTCGCCCCCTACTTCTTAAGCAGCCAGAAATATTTACCGTATTCGAGAAATGCAGAGCGGCGATCGAAAAATCGAAATACCGAAAAAGTGTATACACAAAGTGCAGTGGAGGGAAGAGCAGAGCGGAGCAGACAAATGGCGACGCATTTAAAGAGTTATGGATGGATGGTTGGGTGGGCTAACAGGGTGGGAGGTGGTGCAGGCAGCCAGAAGCCATGCATATGAGAAATTTTGAAAAAAAAGCTTGCCAGGTTTTTTTTTAGGTTTTTGTCTACATCAACGATTAACGAAAAACCCAACGACTTTCATCGTCGCGAGTCGTGCGTCGGTGTAAGCGAGTGTGCGAGTGTGTGTGTGACTGTGTTTCTAGAAATATATATGTATGAGACTCGCTCTTTTAGTCGTCACGTCGCCGCTGCCGCCTGCCTTGAAAAAAGTCACGCTCTCAGCACCTCACTCTCTCACTCTCCCACAGTGAGCAGCAGAGGAATGAATGGACAGACTAGCGAGAGAACGAACTGAACATTCGTCGTCGTCCACCCTTGTAATTACCGTGTATCTGTGTGTCTCGGCTCTCCCGGCGAGAGCATGTGTGAGTGAGAACGAACCGCAGCAGCCACAGTAGCAACAAATAAGCAGCAGCCAAAAGCCAAAATCAAAAACAATAAGAAAAGAAAAAGTACAAATTATTGTTCATTATTGTAGGGGGTGTGTATGTGTGAGTGTGTGTCGAGTGTGTGGTATGGATGCAGTGTAGAGTGGAATACAACGGTAGATATGGGTGCGTGGAAATCTAATAAACGGTTTTTATCTTCCAGAAATGTGCTGCAGTGTGTGTGTGTGTCATTGCCAAAGCAACAACGTTAACGTTTACGTTTAAATAAATAAATTGTGAAAGAAAATCAGAGAACGA